GCTTAGAGTTGTTGATTACCGAGTCATAATATATTTATATGTTCGTGTTTGAGTATGCTCTTATATTTAAGTACTTTGCAGGAGATTGCATTGTTAAGCCGGTTGAGGCATCCAAACATTGTTCAGTACTATGGGACAGAAACGGTGAGCTTCGGACACAGTTTGCAGCCTTATCAATTAAGAGCTTGATATGTTAATTACTGTTAGAGAATTTGGTTCATTATCCTATCACTCCAAAGCTTAGTCGCGAGATTTAAGTAGGGAGCAACTATAAACCTGATCATATGAAGGCCATATACTTTTCTGCCCCGTGAGTCAATAAAACAAGTGCTATGTTTCAGAGCAGTGAATAAACCGAAAGGGAAGAAGAGACTTTCTCGCGCTCCGAAATTTTATCATCTTTTTGAGCTGACATTTTTTCTGAATTGTTTACCTCAACCAGGTTGGCGATAAACTGTATATCTACTTGGAATATGTATCGGGCGGGTCCATTTATAAGCTTTTACAAGAATATGGTGCATTTGGAGAAACAGCGATCCGTAGTTATACTCAACAAATCTTATCAGGGCTTGCATATTTACATGCTAAAAACACAGTGCATAGGTAATATGTTCTTTGGTTGGATCATTTTTGTAAAATATCATTCTTTTAGCAGTCTTTACCTTTGTACCCTGATTGCCTAACTCTTCATTTGCACAGAGATATTAAAGGAGCAAATATTCTTGTTGATCCAAATGGGCGCATAAAGTTAGCAGACTTTGGAATGGCAAAACATGTAAGTTTACCCATAGACTTTTAAGGAGTTATATGTTAGATGATCGCAATTTGTTGTATGATATAATCAATTGGAGATATCATATGGCTTTTTTATTCAAATCTGCTCTTTGATCTCTAAATTATTGCTGTTGGAATAGACAACATTTTTTCTAATCATTTAGCTTTGTTTCTTGTTTCTGGAGTGATAAATACAGAACTTAATCCATTAAGTCATGCACTGGTGTTATTGTCAATACTGTACCATCAGGGACACCTTTACCCTCTGTAGGTGTGCTCTTCAGGCTGAGCCTCATGTCTTTAATTTTTCAATCACAAATTTGCAGATTACAGGACAATCATGTCCATTATCATTCAAGGGAAGCCCTTACTGGATGGCCCCCGAGGTGAGGATTTGATTTGGGCAGTATTTTTTGCATGCGCCTTGGTTGCTTATAGTTCGACTTCAAAGTGCCTCTTTGCTAATGTTTCAGGTTATAAAGAATTCTAGTGGCTGCAACCTTGCTGTTGATATATGGAGTCTTGGATGCACCGTCTTAGAAATGGCTACATCCAAGCCCCCTTTTAGCCAGTACGAAGGGGTGAGTAATTTGGCCTAGAGAACATTAGTTGAGCATTTCGCCTTGTTTTTCTTCTGGAATTTGTCTGTGGATTTGCTGTAAATTTAATTTGAGATTGCAAGTTGTACAACACAATTTATTCCCTTAACCTCTAATATGTGGTGTTTGATGGGCCCAAAGGTTGCTGCTATGTTTAAGATTGGGAATAGTAAAGAACTCCCAGCTATACCAGAACATCTCTCAGATGAAGGAAAAGATTTTGTGAGGAAGTGCTTGCAGCGTGAGCCCCGCCATCGTCCTACTGCTGCTCAACTATTGGAGCATCCTTTTGTGAAAAATGCTGCAACTCTGGAGAAGCCAAATGTTTCTCCTGCATCTTCTGATCCTCCATATGCAGGAATAAATGGCGTAAAATCTCAGGTACACTTCTGTTTATTTTAGTCTTTTTCTTCCCATCGATAAGACTTTGGAAATCCTTTCTCTTCCTTTTCAGTTTTCAGAAACAGGAAAGTTGTGATGATGGTACTGGTAAAAGTACACCGACACATTTATTCTCCTATCAGTAAAATGGTCATTAATATGATGTATTCTGAATCAGCAATTAGTTTTGGCAAAATTAACTGATTGGGTACATGTATCCAATATTCAGGCCCTCTTTATTTTAAATCTGTTGACCACATATATTGTTAAGGTTCACTCCTGGTTAAGATTAGTTCAAGCGTCTATATTTGGAGTTCATACAGTAATCAATCTCATATGCCGATAATAATTCAGTTATTTGAACTCGTCACATAGGACCCAAAGAATGGCTAGTTCTTAGAAAAAAGATCGTTTGATTCTGGAAAAGTAGATGATTTAACTGGTATGTAAATATGGTCAAGGTTTATATTGTTGGATGTGCGCTAAATAATCTGTGTAGTAGAGTTTGTAGCTTTTCTACAATTGGGTAGGGGAGGAGATGGGTTCTTACAATATATTTTCCTTGGGTATCACCAAGTAGTTTCTGTTATCTTTTCTGGAACCATGAACTTTTTTTTTTCCTTTTTCTTCGGATAGGAATCTTTTAGCAATTGAAGTACGTTAAATAAAAAAGAGAAAGAAAAGGGATTTACTAGACAAGTTAAAAGAGAAACAGTGAGAAACTTTCTACTTGCTGACCAGTTGTATTGCATTCTGTCGTGTGGCTAAAAGCTGCTTCTTTTGACAAGATTAACAAGCTAGGTTCATTTGGATGACCAAATAAACTTAAATTTTTTAGTCCTGTCATTCCCCATCCTTGCTTCTCTTCCCCTGTATTCAAACGAAAGCAGAGAGCTACCTCTGATGTCTGTGCATGAAATCTTAAGCATAAATGTGTTTCATGTTAGAATGCCATCTCTTTTTTTTGATAAGGTAAAGGTTTATTGATAAAAGTACCAAGGTGGTACAGAAAATTACATAAAAGGACCAGACAACATCTACAGAAAACTTCCAATTACATCTTTTAGAATGCCATCTCTTTTGTCATTGCTTTCCTTGAAGGTAATCGAGATTGGTGAGCCTACTTCTTGTTAGCTTCTTGGTTCATAACAGAGTAAGAAGCTTCACACTTGGAAAAAAGACAGAGAAAATAGAAGTGAACCTCTACTTTGAAAAAAAAAAATTGACTTGCTTTTAGCTTCTTGATTCATTTGAGAGTAAGTTGCTCACCCTTGAAAGAAGAGAGAGACAGAAAGACAACAGAAGGAAGTGAAACTTTTATGCTTAAAGAAAATGAAAATTGACTTGTGTCAGTATCCATAAGGAGATCTAGATGGAGGATGCTCATGGTGCAGCATATCCGAAATGATGATGCATATTAATGCTATGGCACCATTAACTGTATTATTAGATGTAAATTGTTCTCTTTATTCTAGCACCAGTATGAGGGATCATGTCTTCCTTGGAACAGGCCGTCTTCGCTTGTCCCATGTTGGAATACCTAAAAGAGAAAAAGAGTAAATCATCCCTAAAGAAAAGGGAGTGCAAAAGATTGACTACATATTAAATTCATGATGTCTGAATGCACAAAAAAGTAATTCCAAGTGAAACTAACAGTACGTTGAAAACATTATACATCTTCATCTTGGACTTACGTGGCATGGTCTAAACTTACGGGTGTGTTCTTTATGAATCTTAGGGCATTGGACAGGCAAGGAACTCACCTACGTCAGAATCAGAAAGACTTGCAATCCATTCATCCAGAGTTTCAAAATCTAATTTTCACTGCAGGTTCTTTTCTCTTGATTATTTCAAATTTCTTTAGTTGTTGAGTCTTTCTGAAGAAAGCAATTGCCGTTCAAGTTATAATTCTGAATATAATAGAGAAAAAGAATGGAGGCAGTACTCATCTTTGTGATTACTGATATTCCTCTTTGATCTCCAGTGATATCCACATTACAAGGAACATATCATGCCCTGTCTCGCCAATTGGTAGCCCTCTTTTACATCCAAGGTCACCTCAACACCTAAATGGGAGGATGTCTCCTTCACCCATATCAAGTCCCATCACCATGTCTGGCTCATCAACACCTCTCTCTGGAGGGACTGGTGCTATCCCATTTCATCACCTTAATCAGTCAGTTTACTTACAGGAGGCAGCACCACTTCCACAGAGTCCTTATATGAATGGGCCTTCGTACTGGGATCCTGATGTTTTACGAGGGACACCGTCAGGATCTCATGCTTTCCGGGAATTGGCATCCTCTCAAAATGATGCTCTTGGAAAGCAGTTCGGGAGGCCTACGACAGGAGAGCTTTTCGATGGGCAGTCGGTGCTGGCCAATCGAGTGTCTCAGCAACTCCTAAGGGATCATGTGAAACTGGTTCCTTCACTAGATCTAAACCCTTGCTCTCCTTTGGAAGGTCGCACAGGTGAAGCATGATATTATCTTTGTCAGATCCAACATTCGAGGTTGAAAAAAAAAGATACAACATTCACGGGAAAATTCCTAGTTTCATTGTCTACTGGGTTTTCTTGTAAATCTGTTTATCTTTGTAACTTTGAAGGAAGCTGATTTGCGCAATAAGGATCCCGTGGAAGGGTGGGGGTTGAGGACTTAGGAAATAAAATAGCTTATTGAGCAGAACTTTATACATTGTCTATGTCGTTCAGCTGATCATATTACCTCTGCCCGGCCTTGAGTCTAGTGTTTCAAAGATGAAGCTTACTTCCCAGTGAAACTTTTGGCCTTCTTCACCATAGCATCTCTGGACACTACAACTGTTTGTAAAATGTTGAGTGCCTAAGATCAAATTTTATAACCAACCCTGAGCCATGAAAGGAGTCATTTGTTCGTGGAAGCTAGCTTCAAGTGATTCAATGTATAGCTGATCCTTCAACAAGACATTTGTGGTACCAAACATGTATATTTATGCTGTCCCATAGAAGAGAGTACAAAAGAAGCAAGTTTGCAAATTAAATAGGTTTAGGCCCTTTATCTCCTCCGCTTTCCCCCTTTTGGGGATGGGGGTTGAGGTTGTTGTACAGTAACAATGAACTGAAAATATTGCAGATACTGTTGATTAAACAATCTGAGATGACAGCACATTTCTTTTCTATATTTTGTCTCTTCGACTGCAGCTGGTGTCTCACTGAGTCAAACTTCAAGTATGTTTTGATTTAAAAGACGTTTAGTGCTCCATCTGTTTATGAATGTTGGGGACTGTATCAGTTGTTTGGGACTAAATTAAATCTCAAATTACAAGATGGCCAAGTCAACTGGCATGGTTTTCCATAGAATGAGGCAGTTACCGCGCCCCCTAAAAAAATTTGAGTTTAAAGTTTTGGTGGAACTGTAATTGCAATCAAGCTTATAATGATAAGAAGCTTGACCTAAAGCTCCTCTTGGAAAAAATCGGATATTTGCTTGGCATAGTAGCCTATGAGACCCCTCTTCACACAGTAGCAAGGTTGAAAAGAGTATGCTTTATATTAGTCAACTAAACTCATGGTAAAATCCCATAACTTTTTTGCCAATTCAGCATCATTAGCTTGTGGGCTTGTCTCAGCTACGTTGCAGTCCGAATAATATTTGCCACTTACACCTTTAACATCCGGATGCAAAGCCACATAGCATGTTGTTGCAGCCCCCTGAGACCAATTTTCACACGGCAACATCAGCAAACATAGAATTATATCAAGAATCTTATGGAGAGAACATTGTTTGCCTATGAAACAGTTAAAAGGTGCATGAATGGAACAGCCAAAACTAAAGAAAATATTTTTTTGTCTCCAGATCTCTCTTTTGGCTCCTGAAACTTCTTTTGTGAAAGCTATTTATATTGTGAATTTGAAGCTATAACAGTAGAAATGGAGAAAAGAAAGGACCTATGAGGTACTCCACTTTGAACACAAATGATGACAAACCTCATTTTCTTCTTTTCAGTATTAATTATTGATAAGCTTTAGAAGAAAGGGTTGGTTGCATAATATCTAGAGAAATTTGGGTGTTAATCCAACCAGACTTCGATGAAGGAAAAATAATAGCACTCTTTATATCATACTCCATTTGGAATATAACCTACGAATCGTGATCTGGAAGTTAAATTCAAGTTCTAGCAAACAAGGTAATTTAGATGTCTCATTTTTCTGCAGTCCATTTCTCTTCTTGTTGCAGTTTAAAAGAAGAATTTAATAGAACTACCAGCACTCCCATAATTACCTGCTGAACATTTTTCATCACATGCTTACCAAGGATATTAACAATGCCTGCATCACATTGAAAGGGAAAATGAGTTAAAAGTTCACAACCTGCAGTATATTTAATTCATAAAATTCATTTCTATTATTGGTTACTCGCAGTACAGAACCCGAAAGACAACATGGCAGAAAGATCTGAAAAAGGATCTATAGTTCATTATAACATGCCCTCAAAGAGCATTGTGAGCACTAATAAGATAGATGAAAGATAAATAAAAGTGCAGCCATATAGAGCTTATAAGTTTGACCAAAGGCAGTGACCTGGTCATCTTGCTTCCAGCAAGTGTAAGTAACAAGTTCGCAAACCTTAGTAAAGAACAAGATATAAGCAACACATGACACAAACAAGCCATCGCGAAGACCCACTATGGACAGTTTACAAGGGCTTTGAACCAGATTTGGCTCATTAGACACTTAACTAGCTCGAGGGAATATCATATGGCTAGTGTCATTCACCTCAACACCAGCAAATTTAACTTAATTCCTTGCCTATGAAGTCATGAAGCAACAGAGCGATGCAAGCAATCAAGAGTACACAATCCAGATGTGCTCTATTCACAGCACCCATGCAGATAGAACACATGACTCAGAAGTCAAAGAGATTACCACTGACAATGCTGTGCTGACGGAAAAGGTCAGTGGCAATGGCTCCTGGGTGAAGAGAATTCATCGTAATCTCCACTCCCTCATCCTTTTCAAGGAAATGATCACATTATTATTCTTAAAGGAAATGGCCACATTATTATTCTTAAAATGGATAAAAAGCTTATCTTCTACTTATACCTGTTACCAGACGAGCAGAGTACCAAAAGGTTCTTTAAGCCTAACAATGCTAGTTAAAGACAGAATTCAACCTAACTACTTCAAAGTCTACTGGTTAGGTTAGCACGCCTAATCAGAAAAGAAGAGAGGATACTTGTGCCAATGTCTATTCAGGGACTATGGGCTTTAATATATTTGTAAGATAAAGATTGTAACTCAAAAAGTGTTACAATGCAATATCACAGGCACTATAATGGATAATGCTTTCTTGAGAACATTTTTAGCAAATGGTGAAGTTTAAAGGTGTGCTTTAAGTACTTGTTAGCAGAAAGCGCAAAGCCAAAAGCCTCCTACCATCATGGTATGCCACTTTGTCAAGGAGATTTCAGTCATCATGGTAAATCCATTTGAAAATTACTAGGTCTAGTGTCAGTCTCAAATTTGACATCTTTATATGCCTTTACAATGATCTGGTGGAATATTTTTACCAAATGTATAAGAAAAGACCAATCTTCAAACACATTAAACTGTTTACTAGATTAGTGTGTACCTTCAGACGTCTAGCAAGTTCATTAGCATGTAGCACATTGGCAAGCTTTGACTGACCATATGCAGACAGCCCATTATACCTGAGGATCATTCATCCGCATAAGACAAAGCCCTGGTCTCAACTTTTCTATACATAAGCATAGTTCATCTATTTTTGAAAACAACATAATATGTACTCCTTATGACTGCAAATAATTGATCAACTCCTTTGACTAAAACATTTTTGTCCTCCATCACGGAGAATTTTTATCCAAATTTTTTAAATTTGTGTAGGGAATAAATATTTTGCAATAGTCATTGGAAATGGCTACTTCCCCGGACCCCGCGCATAGCGGGAGCTTAGTGCACTGGGCTGCCCTTTAGTCATTGGAAATGGCATCCCTATAATGTTTCTTCATCGTCGGTGATAACATAACAAGGAAATCAGGGCTTGTTTCTAACAGATGCTCAGTCCCTATGAGAGAAAGATTGGGAGAAACGGCAAAAATAAATTTCTATCACTTCAGTTCTTTACGGATACTCTAATCCAACTAATCAAAATTTTTGGGGAGAAACTTAAAGACTCAACAATTAAAGAATTAGCACATGCAAGATATGTCAGACTATAGCATGTTCACCCTAATTGATCATTGATTTTGTCAAACCGAATTCCTTCATGGTACGAAAATTTGTGGCGTCGTGAGGAGACATTAACAATCCTCCCTTCTTTTCTGCTCTGACTAGCCGTTCTTTTCATGGTCTCCAGCAATAAATTTGTCAAAAGAAAGTGGCCTGCAAATAAATATACCCGTGAAATCACCTTCAAGAGTGATGAAATTTGACCTTAGTATCGCCAAAAATATAATGTAAATACAAGATGTCATTATGTTATGCAGAAATCTACGAATACAGAACCATGCCAAGCGAAGGAGTATGGCATTAAAACAATTAGCATTCAACACTACAAATGCCCACTAGGGTGCTTGCATTAAATGATATTTAACTAGAAAAGATGTCATAAAGTTTATGCAAAAATCTAAGAACACACAACATCGCAAACTAAGGACATGAGCACAACAAGGGAGTAATAATGTAAACATAAACCGAGTGAATTTTGGCTGTGAAGACCAGGTGATCATCCAAACTTAAGCAAAGCAAGAATTGGTCATCACAGACAGTCTAACAAGCAGGACGTAGTTTATAAGACGATAGACACTTAGCCAAAACACTTGACCTCATCACTCCAGTGTTAAGGCCCAAAGACTGGAGATTCATGTTACCCTATATTAACCATATTGCCTCCATAGAAAATACCCAGTCCTTCTATTCTCATTTTCCTTGACTAGTTCATTTCAGTGTTTAGTAGTAAATGTGTTGCATCTTACCAACATGGTTTGTTGCGAATTGCAGCTCAATCTTATCCTTGGAAAGTGTGAATGGGGTTGCCATGATACCTGCATTGTTACTTTGCCACAACATTACAATGATCTAGTTATTTCTGTGCTCAACATTCAACAGTCTGTCGATAAGCAAGTTAAAGCACAAGTACTCATGAACACGAGTGCAAGTTCTGTTCACCCTAATGGTGGTGGGAGGAGGGTTTAATAAGATAATATTATCTGAATCTTATTTACCAGTACACTGAACTTCACACTATCAGCAACCAAATCCGGATAGCCTTGGATTCAAACTGCCGCCCTTTCTAGTTGTATAAAGTAAAAAGGAATATGCAACCATTATTACTTGAACTATGGTGCTTTCTCGAGCGAAGAAATAATAATCAGGGGTTGTTTGATAGGATGGAGAACTGATCTCTGAAATTAGCATCACTGATTACTTTAAGTTTCTAATTTTCAAGAATTGAACCATTAATTTTGTGACTTTTCAAGTAAATTCACATTACTTGGTAATATAAATTGCTAAACTTTTAAAACTGAATGTTGACTTTGTATTGTCTGAATCAATTGATTGGAATATGAAAAAGTAATCTCCATTTATACAGCAGAGAAGAAAAAAACCCTGAGATTAACCAAATAAGTCCAATATGTCACATTCAAATATGGAATATTACAGTTCATCGGAGTGCTTCTTACAATATTTATTGACTCACCTATCCAATTTAGTGTTTAAGTCTAGTCGTTTTGACTTAAAAAATTTTGTAGAATATAAATTGGAACTTAATATACTAAGTAATCTCATTTCTACATTTTTAATCATTCAAGACAGTCTATTTCAACCGTTAGATTAGGTTACCAAAGCATGCTGTGTTTGAGAACTAACACATAACAATGGTTAGCTTTCCTTGATGTTCTTTTAACTTCTTACTTTTCTCTTGTTTCTGTGTTTACATACATACATCTATACTTATATGCCCGGGCCACCACACCTTTAATGAGAACTTAGGGAAGAGATGCGCATAAGACTCACAGCAGATATACATACTTTCTAATATTACAGGATTCTGTTTTTTGGAGACAGTAAATTAAGCATGGTGCTTTAACTTTCTCAACATCTGTAGTTAACATACTTCCATCTTTACGAATTACTATGTCCTCCTAGTTGAAACTAATGAAGCGGTCATATGTATGTTAGTTCTCATGAAGTACGGCTAACACAGTTTACTAAATTCAAATCAAGAAAAGAAAGCACAAATAGCAATACTTGAAATTGCTTTGCATATGCATTTATTTAGGAGTAAAGAAAGTAACTAAAACAAGAGAAAGTCTACACTTATCCATTTCCATCTTACATAAGCAGGTTTAGAGGAAGGCCTGAGGAATTGTAATTTGATGCGAACTTCCTCACTGATGCAAGTGAACTGAGATCTAACTCCATGGCATCAATTTTAGCTTCTGGAACATCTCTAATTATTGCCTCTTTAACTTGTTTTGCAGCAGAGATATTCCTGACCCCCATAATTACATGCACACCCCGCAATGCAAGAACACGTGCAGTTTCAGCACCAATTCCACTTGATGCTCCTGTTAACCACAACGGAAATAAAAGCATGTACTTTGATAGCAAGCATCCAAAAAGATAAAGAGAGCATTTAGAGACAGATATTACTTTTCAAATACTAAAACCAGAACAACTACTGTAGCGCAACTCCAAACTAGTTGGGGTTAGCATATGAATTCTCTATGCATATTCTGCTCTATTTGGGTTCGTTTCCTTCCAAATACACTCTCACATAAAATTCATGCAAATTACACATTGTTAAGGTTTCTTTTTCTTTTTTGGGGGGGATATACAATTATGGTAGTGTTGGACATATGATTCTGTTTCAAAGCGCATTTAAATGTTAAGAGGGATGGTCAAGTGAATACCCTTCGCCGAAAAATTATACCTATGTATAGGGTAAAATATTACTTCTTGTTGATTAAAAAATAGACTTTGAACACTCTTGTACAGTATGTTCAAATTATTGAGTTTTCTGGCTTTGCCACTGCAACGATGATTCATGTCGTGTTTAAGCATATTAGACGTATATGAATGCAAGGTGCCTGTAGATTTGAGGAAAAACAAACAATCTATTAATCCTGCCAAATTTTATGCACCCTTAATTAGTTTTAATAACTTAATTTCTGACTCAACAACAAAATTAGAAACCAGAAGTGAACTATGCAAAATCTATTTAAACACTAAACCAAGAAGCTTCTGTTGGCAGGTAGAATTTTCCTAGAATTACTATGCTCACAACTCAGTTTGGAAAAATTGAAAGAGAGAGTTAGTTACCAGTAACAATGGCAGTAAGAGCAGAGCCATCAATTCCTTGAGTTACTTCCTCAGCTGTTGAATTTGCAGAGAACCCAGAAGCACCCTTTTTGCTTAGAAACCACATAGTATATGCTTCTTCCTCAATCAGCAAACTGTAAAAACAGAATCTTAAGCTATCCTCTTTTCTATTTTCTTGGATTTTTCTCTAGTCTAGTGGGCAGGTGCGGCTTACTGGGCGCCTACTGGCCTAATGTATAAATGTGTACATATTTATAATTTTAGACTACCAAGCAATTCAATTATTAATATCTATTATATTATAATACTAGAGAGTTACACTCAATTATCTTTTAAAAATAAAATCATTATCAATATTTTTGTATATCAATAACAATGACAACAACCTAGTGAGAATCACACAAGTGGGGTTTGGAATGATAGGATGTACACAGACTTTATCCCTAATTTTGCAAAGGTAAAGATATTATTTTCGATAGACTATCGGCACAGTAAAAATATTTTTATTAATTGGATATTGTAGAGATTGGACACATCCATTTTGCATAAATTCGAAATGTGATATACAAAGAATATGAAAATAGAGATGCATGGACGGTCCTAGAGGAACAATAGTTTAAGATGGATATTCTGAGATTTTTTTTTTTGCGCAATAAATTTTATAACTCCATTATCCGTGACCTTGATGTTAGCCTTCAGGCCGTTAGATCCAAGCGGAATAACTTTTTGACCGAGGTTGACCGGCTTAAGAAAGAGCTTCAGCGTCGAGTGGCTTCTCTCATGTCGAAAAAACATATTCTATGTACAACATGGGGAGAAAAACCTTGGAAGAGGCTAAAGGGAGCATCACTGACTTTGATGCCGAGATCGCCAAGGCCCGTGAGGTGGAGTCAACTTCCCGAAAAGGTCTGCCGATCCGACCTGATGCGACTGACTCTTCTGGTTCGGTTCTGAGTTCTCGGGAACTGAAGAAGAACCTGAAGGGGATGATGATGAAGGTCAAGACCTCGATCCAGCGGCACATCCAACAACTTTTCCTGGGGGGCGCATATGCTTCTCTTCCCCCGGATTCTAGGGATGCAGTAGTTTAGCTTTTTGTTTTCTTTCCTTTTTGTCTTTTACTTCATACTTTTGTACTTGTGCGCACTTTTAAACAGTTGTAGTCTCCCTGCGTGTAACACTCCTCAAATTTATAAAAGCTTCGAGACACGCTAATTATAGAATTAAATTATTATTATTATTATTATTATCTTGCCTATNCAATTAGAAAAATATTAATAATTATAAGTGGGTATCACTGATTATTAGTTAAGTTAAAAAAAAAAAAAGGGGGCCTAAAGCCTAGGGCTGTGCATAATTTGGTAAATACCGAATTACCATACCGAAACCGAAAATTTTGGTATTTGGTATACGGTATTTTGGTATTTGGTATGGTATTTGGTTTAAGTTTTTAAAAAGATTGGTATTAGGTATGGTATTTGGTATTTTAAAATAAAATACCGAAATACCGATACCGTACCGAAATATATATTATATTACACAAAACATATATTATCAATTATAACATAAATATAAAAAATCTAAAATTTTACTTTCCTTTATTCTCTAAGTTCATCAATTAATTCTAAACAAGTAACAAGACATTTCTAACGATCAAATATTCTTTTATGTATAATTTTCTCTATTTGGGTCGATATTTGCTAGTTTTGGACAAATTTTTTGTCAACAAATATTTTCTGTTTTGTATTTTTGAGTACTTTAATTAAGAATATTAGAGACTATGGCTCAATGCACTAGTTAGTATTCAAACCGAATAAACCAAAGTTACCGAACCGAATAAACCGAAACCGAAAGGAGAAAAACCGAACCATACCGAGTTTAATTAGGTACGGTATTGGTATAGAATTTTAAGAAACCGAATACCGAAAATACCGAACCGAAATGTCTAAATACCGTACCGTACCGACCGACGAACACCCCTACTAAAGCCCATAAAAGGGTTGTTGGCAACCAAAGGCTTCAAGCCTTATATGTTTCTACGGCAATTCACAAAAAGGCAGAAGCCTTAGACGAGAAATAGATCATTGTCTGTTACGCACAAATCAAAATAAAATTCTAGGGTTCTTTACCAATCACTAATTCTTGAATTCAGGTATGTAAATTTCCTATTGTCAATTATCCTACAGTGGTAATAGGTAAGAATTGAATAGCTAATCCCCTTCTTCCTCCATATCAACAGTAAATTACATTTTTAGGTGTGAAACTTTAAAATTTATTTAAAATGCACTAGTTGTTGTAGAATCAACTGTTTGACGGGTATAAATTGGACTGGAGTCTACGTATTGGCTCGAGAAGTTTTGAGGTGAGTTGATATAACCCTTTACTAAAGTGGTTTAACTCACAAAAGCACGCACACAAGGTGTTTGATGAATTGCATAAAATAGTTAATATATACTTAATTGGAGTAGTAAGTACCTATTAGCTTAGAGTTATTTTCTAGCTAAAGTTTAGATGACTATTTTGATATATGTGCATAAATTTCAGTTTTCTATGTTATTCTTATATGCCATTTTCATGTGAAAATTCATGAAGGATCAAGAATCTTTATAAATACTTTTGAATGTTTATTTTATTCTTATGCCATGCCTTACATTTAAGGACACCAGTATGAATATGTATAAAAGATTTAGACTTGAAAAGTCATAAGAAGAAGTTTTAGAAAGAAAAGATTTTTGGGAGTATCCTTTATTCTGAGAAGGGGTCATCGTCCAGGCCTACGGTCCTGACCAAGGCGTTGACTTCCTGAAACTACTTGTGCCAAAGTAGGGAGCACATGAGCCGAGGGTCTCGTTGCTGAGAATTTACTTAGCCATGCTAAGGTATGAGACATGAGCGCTGAGAACCATGAAGCGAGTGGCACCTCGTGGATTGGACTCATACCTTATGAGTGCCGATCACACGGTGACTGAGACAGAATTAAGTCAGGATAGTTGGAACTCCCAAAGTATAAAGTGAACTATTTTTTTATAAGAAAGAAAAAGAAAAGAATTTCTTTTAGAATATTCATAAACTGTTATTATGCAATTATTTTAGAATTGTTCTTATAAGCTTTATGTTTTACATGCATTTAGAATCCTTGCTCGTAATGTATATGTTATTAAAGTTTCGTCCCCTGTCGTTGAAACTCACTGAGTACAATGGATGGTACTGACGTTCTCTTTTGAGAACCTACGTTGGTCTGCGGTACAACGCAGGAACCGATTTTGCAGGCGAGCTGGCTACGGTTTAGGACTTCCTTCCTTTCCAGTGCTATTGGTGAGCTCCGTTTTTGTTCGTGGAGTATTCCTTAGAGTCATTTTTATTTAGTTATTTCTTTGTTTACTTAGAGAACTGGCCAGGAAATCTCATGTCCTGAGCAGTGCGTCAGATTATCAGTAGAGGCTTCATAGACATAGTCGTTGGGTTAAGATTCATATGTTTTCGATAATAACTTAGCAGTATTTTATTGGTTACTACGAATAAAGTTTTGGAAGTTGGCTTATTTTAGATATTTAAATTATTTAAAAGTATTTGGTTACAGTAGTGCCTTGTGGCATATAAAGTTTGAAGTTATAATAGATTTGATAAGCAGAGATGATTCGCTCGGTCATGTTTAGTGATCGAGTGCTGGTCCCGGCTTGTTCAGAAAATGGTTCGTGACAAACTTGGTATCAGAGCCTCAGGTTTATGGAGTCCTAGGGGTCTATGAAGCCGTGTTAGAATAGTCTTGTTTATGGGTATGAAGCGCGCCATTCTTATAAACAGGAGGTTACAAGCATTTAGGAAAAGTCTCATTTTTTCATACTTTAGATCGTGCAGTAGATCCTACCTCTAAGAAACTATCTGATGTATTCGTTTCTTTAAAACTCGTAGAAATAGCTCGTACTCGAAACTCTGACACCGACACTCAGGATGCTGCTCAAGAAACTATTGCTACTATTGTGGCTCAAGGCAGAACTAAAAAGGCTTCAACTCAGAAAAAGAAGGGTAAATTCGCAAAGGGGGTTCAAGTACCCCGGTTGAACATGAAGAAGGGGTGGAGCATAATGATCCAGTACCTCAGGATCCAGTACCGCCCCCAACAGCAGCTCCGACTCAAACAACTATATCTCCAGAGGTGGATCAGATGTTTAATGCAGTTAATAGTGCTATGGAGATGTTTAAAGCCTTCATGGCTAACCAGAACGAGAGAAGAGATGAGATTCCACCTCAACCAAATAGACAGAATAATTCTGAGTCCTCAAGAGTGAATGAATTTTTGAAGTTGAGTCCTCCAGTGTTCCATGGTTCTATAGTTGAAGAAGATCCAATATTGTGGCTGGAGGGTGTCAAGAAAGCCCTCCGAGTGATGAAGGCATTTGATGATGAAGCTGTGGAGTTGGCTGCTTACTAGCTTAGAGATGTGGCCGACGCATGGTTTGAGATGTGGGAAAAGGAAAGAGATGAAGATGATGGTCCGCCTACTTGGGAAGAATTTGAAGAGGCCTTCATGGATAACTTTATCCCGGAAGAGGATTGGGAAGCTAAGGCTACAGAGTTCAAACAGTTCAAGCAAGGGAATAAAAGTGTGCAAGAGTACTACATGGAATTCATAAGGTTTGGTAAACATGCTCCTCACATGGTTAATACAGAAAAAGCAAAGATTCGCAGGTTTGTTGGAGGTTTAGCTTACCACATTAAGGATACGACATCAACTGCAGCAGTAGGGATGACATCCTTCTCCTCTGTTGTGGGATTTGCCAAGCACTTAGAAAAAGACAGGCAACAAAGGAGAGAAGAAAAAGAGCATAACAAGAAAGCCCGAACAACGGGCAGGTTTAATGGTACATCCAGCGGAGGTGGAAGGGATTCCTCTAATAAGGAGTCATTAGCACCAGCTCAGTCTAGTCATCAGTCAGGTGGTGGGTCTTCCTTCAGACGTACTCAGAGTTATGGAAATCAGTCTTGCCAGAATCAGAATTTTTAGGATATCATCCTCACATAGCCAGAGTCAGGCTGAGCAACATTCACACCAACGAGGTCTTTGTGGAACATGTAAGCGGCAACATTCAGGTCAGTGCAAGCTCGGGTTTCATGGTTGCTATCATTGTGGAGACATTGGTCATATAAAGGCCAACTGCCCAAAGTTGTGACGTAATTTCAGTGGTGGATCAACTCGTCCTTCTTGTTCTTCAGCTATTGCAGTT